AGGAGTTTACCCATGTAAATTGCACAGAAGATACGTACTCAATTTTTGTACATAAATTTTACTAAATGACAAAACATTTACAAGGTCGTACATTAATAAAATTTCCTCTTTCACAGAAACTGTTAGCAACATATCAAGATCACACACCCAAACTTTATGCTACAACTTGAAGAATCTCTGTATAGTGTTTTAGCAACTGAACTCAGACATGTCTGGCTGAATATTTTATTCACTAGTATACTTAAACTTCATTGTCAGATTTTAAGTTCTATAGCCGGATAGTTTTAAACTGGTTAATAATAGCCAACCACAAAAGTATTTTTTCTTACTATTTAAACAAGTTCATTTATAATGCTCCAAGAAACAGATATTTGCCTCATAAACATAATTTTATTGATATTAACTATTGAAAAAACATCTTATAACACAAGTTCACTGTCTTTTGCAAAACATGTTTGTGCTGCAAGGTATTAATGAAACTAACTACACTTACATTAATAAAAAAAATAATATTTACTCAAAAACCCCATTACACAATATCAAAGAAAACAATATGATTTCATGTATAAAAGCAAGCAAAATTTTCACTTTTTTTACATTGACATTCTTATTTTATGAAATTTAAAAAAATTTTTTCAAAAAGAAAACTACTGAGTAAATAATCTTTGATTATATTTACTTATTCATTAAAATAAAAACAGTACACTGAAATATCTTTCAAAACTAATTAACTTAGGTCCTTTAGAAAACTTATAGTTTATGGTTAATATAATTATTTTTTCACAAGTTTAACTTTATGAATGCGTCATTTACAACGTGATCATTAAGCAAGTGGCCAGATTAGGCTTTTCTATGATTTATGTATTTGTTGTCATAAACAAAAACCAAGTTCATTCAATAATACATTATAAATTCCTACTTTAACCTTTAGTATTCCACTGCTGCAGTATGGTAGCTCCAATGACCAATTTATATTATCCACATTTATAAAAAATAAAATACAATAAAACAATGCATCTCACATCACAGAACAACACAAGAGCTTCCAACTCTCTATAGAAACACAATGACTATATTGATATTTAGAAAACACTTGTACCTTTTCAATTCTCCAACAATAATACATATTCAATCTACAAAATTAATCAGATCTAAACTGATGAGACACTAGTTAAACTTCACTTGTTCATCATCAACTATTTACTCTGAAAACCTAGCGACTTTAAACTACAAATGCAGTATAGTCTTGTATTTTGTGTATAAAAGGGTCTGTCAATATTCAGTAACATTTCTGTTCCTATCAAAATATTATTTCTTCTCATTTTAATATTCATACAATGAAAAAATTGAACTATTTGTTAAAGTCATCCACAGTTTCTTGAAGTCCTTCCTTTGCATGCATTGCTTAGTGCAAAGGAATGTACAGTACATCTCTGAATAATAAAACCACATCAGAAATTCTTTTTGGATCAAACAACCTAAAATGTACATTTAATTTGTTTTCACTAGTCAAAGTAGTCTGACTGAATTAGGTATTTACTATATTATGTTTGGGAACTCGTGCAGTAAGACCTAATGATACAAGCATTACAATCAGTTTTACTGCAATGTACATTACTTCAATTTCATGCAAGAGCTAGGTACATGAATGACTACTTGAAGAACTGAAAGATATATCCATCTTTAACAATCAAATGGTCCTAAAACAGCTTACAAATCTCTACACACTACAATAAACATAATACATGCACTAGAAAAAACAACCTGATTGTTAATGTGTAAAATTACATTCTACTTTAGTATTTATATTAAAACCTTCCTTATTCCAAAAACTAAACCATCACAAGACCCCTAACAAAGTCCCAGAAGTGTGCTACAGCTTGAGCTTGGGCTTGACTCTGTGTAGGTGTCTGGGCTCCAGTAACCTGTAAATCTTGAGGAAGCTTTGGAGTGAGAGACTTTTGAAGTTTTTGCCAATACGTAGCACTACCACTCTGATATTCTTTCTTAAAAATGATAAAGTCTTCAGCTCCTCTGTAAAAATCTGCAAGAAGTCTCTGCAAAAAATTCCACCGCGTATGAGGCATACAATAGTATTACTCAAATCAAGTTCTGATTAACAAAAATATATGTATTCAAGTACAAGATAGGGGGAATGAACTTGTAATTTTAATTTAAACCAACCTTTAAACACATTTAAAAAATTTCTGCTATTCTATAATTAAGTTAGCATTTCAATAAACAAAAACCTTATTTTCATCTTTCTAAAAACAATTATCAATCTGGAAATAATCATGTTCAGGAAATCTTGCTCAACCTATAAGAAACTTGTTGTGAAATTGCACTAAATATAAGATAATAGCATCTAACATCTGTTTTCTGATATAATTTTTTACTTCTTTCTTACGTATTAGCTTTTACATACGTTGGAAAATAATAGTACTTTATCAATGGAAAACAAAGAGCATCAGATACAGAATACAATGAACATAAAAACAACCAGCAAGTCTTGCAGGGGTTTTAAATCATGTTGAAATACTACAAAAAATACAAGTTAATTTTCACCATACATTCTTAACTTCTGCAAAAAAAAATTTTAATGTCGATACTAAAATATGCCAGAATGTTTTCTATGTGTAGAAATAATAAAAATGTTTATTTGGTAAAATCAGATGACAGATATAAAATAGTATTCTTACATACTTCCAACTTACAATCCCTAATGGAGTAATTAAAAGAAATGTGTAAAAAAACATTAAAAGTTTAACATGATTTTTTTATTTTTTATCATGAATATTAGGCTTACAGGTTACACTGCTTTGAAAGCTTTCAGTGCTTAACACACTAAGGTATATTAAGCATGGTGAAACATGATCGACTTACAGTGGGCTATATATCAAGTAAAGAAAAAAACACTTTCAATTGAACATCTATATACCCTGTTTAGTGCTTGAAAAATAACAGTTACTTATTTAAGGTTTGTATGTATGAAAATAATTATGTAATTTTTATGGAACAAAATGAATCTATATTGGCAGTCTTATGGAACCAAATGAATCTATATTGGGAGTCTTATGGAACAAATTGAATCTATATTGGGAGTCTTATGGAACAAATTGAATCTATATTGGCAGTCTTATGGAACAAAGATAATCTATATTGGCAGTCTTATGGAACAAAGATAATCTATATTGGCAGTCTTATGGAACAAAGATAATCTATATTGGCAGTTTACTTTTACACATATGCACCCCCTTATAAAAATACAGCTAATTAACTTCATTGTAAAACTTCTAATTTCATTTTTCAAGTTTCCTTAGCTGTAATAATTATGAACTATTAGCTAAGAAAAGCTGAAAATCACGTACCCTTTTCTTGGTTGTTTATTACTGACAACCTTGGCAAATTTGTTTACAAAGTTCATTTTTAGTGAAGTATTTACAATTTTTTTTGTGTTATTCATGAAAAGAACAAATTATTAATTATACCTATCGAAATAAAAATCTGTTCCAACAATAATTAACCTAACACACCAGAGATGTATCAATTTTGCATCTGATGCTGTTTGTGTGCGATTGTATTAATGGAAGGAAAGTCTGTCTAATTGTAGAATATATTGTATTATTACTGATTTTGCATGCTGTTTTACTGGTGTACAATATTTTTTAAAAGTATACAGTACTGTCTGCTGAATGTTTACACAACTAATGCATACAAGCAACATACAGTTGCAAAAAGTTCAACAACCTGGAGAATTTATGGCACAATGTCTGCAAATAATATATGATGTTCTTATTTAGATAGATCCTGCACACTTGGTTATAAACAATCTCAGAAAGTAATACCATGAGGACAAATCATTTAAAATTCTAGACTTTAAATTCATTTCTTATGATTTATATATTTTTATTGAAATCTTTGTAAATTCAAAATAGGTCACCTAAAAGTAAGTGTCCTTACCATTTCCATCAACAGATCTTGAGTAAGGAAGGAATCATGAGCAATATTGTATGCCATCTGCATTGGATGACCATATTCCTGAGGACGATGCTAGTACAATAAAGTGTATAAAAATGTTAAGAACAATAATACTTATCTTACTCAACTTCAATGTTTAATGACATATTTTTATTTATTTTCTATAATAAAAGTATTGGAAATTTTCTTCTTAGTTATTCTAATAATACAAAATCAGTAATATACAAATGCAAGGAAAGTTTATGTCTAACAATCCTTACACAAAGACAAAACATAACTTTAAAAGAAAAACAATACTTGTACAATAAACAAATTTATGAACAACTTTTTTTTTTTATTAGTCATATCAGTAATCTTTACCTCAGGAGGAGGCATCACCCAATAAGCCTGGTATTCTGCTTCACACGACTTTCTTTGCTTGTTGTATGGAGCTAAAATAAATGACAAACAGAAGTGTAAAACACATGAATTATTATGTTAATACAATTGAATAATTCATTTTGGGAATAATATGTTAATCCAAATATACATACATGCATTTTCAACAATAGCAGTGAACGGAATAAAGTACAATTATCAAATACTAGCCTTCTCCTTGTAAGATAAGCAAGAAAACTAAGATAAACATTTTTATTTTGTGGTAAAATGTCATTAAGATAGCACATATCACTATAAAGACAAGTGTGTTACTTTTTGTAAACTTCCAAAATTTATTAGTATAACAGGTTTCATGATTATA